CCCCCCGGAGCTGGAGGCAAAGCGGTGACAGCCGGCCTGGCGCGGGGTGGGGCGGGGGTGGGGGACACAGCTAAGGCAAGGTCGGCGGGGGGTGGGGGGGACGCGCCAGGCTCTGACCCGGCTCCCCCACGCCGCAGCGCGGGAGGCAGAGCTGCGGCGCCTGCGCAAGATGAACGTGGCCTTCGAGGAGCAGAACGCGGTGCTGCAGAGGCACACGCAGAGCATGAGCAGCGCGCGGGAGCGCCTGGAGCAGGAGCTGGCGCTGGAGGAGCGGCGGACGCTGGCGCTGCAGCAGCAGCTCCAGGCCGTGCGCCAAGCGCTCACCGCCAGCTTCGCCTCGCTGCCGGTGCCGGGTGCGGAGGCCCCGCCCCCGAGCGCCGAGACCCCGCCCATCCGCCCCGCACCCTATGTCGGGCGAGCTCCGCCCTGCCGGCTCCACTTCCCGGCCCCGCCCCCAGTCGCTTGGAGGCCGGAGCGCACACACCCCGGCCAGCCCCGCCCCCGGCCGTGCGACTTCAGCCGGAATGGCCCCTCCCCGGCGTGAGCTGAGCGCGCGCCCGCGGTCGCAGACCCCTGCCCTCGCCGGCACTGCTCGTGACCCTCCTCCTCCTTGGCCTTCCGCGCTCTGGCCTCAGCTAACCTTGGCTACTTCCTCCTCCCCAATTTGTAAGCCGGATCCCCCCCGGCCCGGGCCTCGCCCTCAGCACTTTCCATCTTCCGCCTCATCCAATGCCGCCGACGCGCCTCGCCTCTGGCCCCCTCCCCGGGACCCTGCCCTTGGAGACCCGCCCCCCGCCTCTGACCTCTGCTTCTGTGGTCCCCGGCCGCGTCGACTCCGCCGCTTGGCTCGGGTGACCGCTCCCTGCCCTCTTCCAGGCACGGGCGAGACGCCCACTCTCGGCACCCTGGACTTCTACATGGCCCGGCTGCACGGCGCCATCGAGCGTGACCCCGCCCAGCACGAGAAGCTCATCGTCCGCATCAAGGAGATCCTGGCCCAGGTCGCCAGGTGTGTGCCGCGGCGGCCCCCCCCCCCCCCGGGGCTCTGCGCGGGGCTTGGGGGGCCACTTGGGGCTAGACCTGCCTTGGGCCCCGCGGAAATGACTGGATTTCGCCCTCCAACCGGGTTCCCGGACTCGGGGCGCTGCCGGGTGGGATCGGGCTGTGGGATCTTATTACGAGGGCACCGCCCACACGCGATTTACCAGGTAGGACTAATTTGCTGCGGGCGGCCAGTGGCCGGACCGCTGGGGGGCGCCGGTCCCATTGGGAACTTTATGAATACTGCTGGGCGGGATGTGCCAGTCCCCCTCGGCCAGTGGGATCCATTGGGGTGACCAGAACTTCCCCACAGCTGCTTGGGGCTTTTCTGGGCGGCTTCTAGCTGCCCGGGTTAGGGGGGATTGACTCCAGGCCCCCACTATGGCATTTGGAAGAACAGAGGGTTGGTGGCCTCTGATGACCCCCATCCTGGGGTTCAGAGCTGATAAATGATGGGGATTCCCCATCACGAGCCCCCCTTCTTTCTTGTCATAGTGAGCACCTATGAGGGTGTCCGCCGCCCGACGGATCCAGAGAAGACTGCCTTTGGTCACAGCCCCTTCCCCACCCCATGGAGGAGGATTGGGGGTCCACCTTTTGGGGCCATGCCCAATCCTGCACCTTGGGGGCTCCAGCCCCCCAAAATTAAATTTCTACAGCATCCCTCTAGCTTTCAATTCCCTCAGCAGCCTGACCCCAGAAAAATCACCTGCTGTACATGAAACGCCTAGAACCCAGAGCCTCGGGGCCCAGCAAGGTCCGCTCCCTTTGCACAACACTACAGGGACATGGGAGCACCACAGGGGCTGCGGAACCCAAGACACAAGGAGACCCGCAGCTGCTGGCACGCTCAGGGTGGGGAGGGTTATACCTGCTACACTGGCTCTCCTGGACCGGCCCAGGGACAAGGTAGAAAACCCCACACCTGTCATGCTGGGACCCCCAGAGGTGCTCACCGCAGGCTCCCCCCCACCCTGCACGCTGCAGGGACCTGCTCTTATACTCGAGGTGGGGCCCTCTGCTTGTGGCCTGAACCCCAGAATTGGGGGCGGCTGGTACTGACCGCCTCTCCCTCATCCAGCTGAGGGGCCCTTGCCGAGGCAGCCTCTGCCTTTGCTCAATCTGGACTTTTTAAATAAAGAAAGTGGAATTTGAATTTCCAAGCTTGTGAATGTTTGGGGGGGGTGGGAGGTGGGCTAGAAGGTGTGCTCAAGGCCCCCAAGACGCCCCTCCTGGGTGTCCCAGGCCCGCCCTCCACCAGTGCCCGGCAACCACTGACCCCCCCCCCTTCTGTCTGGAGGAGCCTGGTCTGGGCGTGTCACACGCGTGGATTCACACCTGTGCAGCTGTGTCTGGTTCCCTCCCTGAGTGTCGTGGGCTCGGGGTCCATCCCTGGGGCAGTGCGTGGGTCCCTCGCACCTTTTTGTGACTGAGTAATACTCCGACGCGCGGATGGGCCACACTCTATTACCCTTTCTCTGTGGATGGACGTTCTGGTGGTTTGGGCTCCTGGGAGGCTAGTGTGACGCACATGTGGCCGTTGGAACACCGGCTCTCAGTTCTGCAAGCTGTCTTCCCAGCGCGGAATCGCTGGTCCAGGGATGTTCCGTGCTGGACTTTGCAGGAATGCTCTCTGCGACTTTCTGTGTAATGCAATATTCAAGCCATCTTAAAATTTTTGGAGAATAATTTGACAAACGGGATGTTGAATCATGTCCCCTCAAAAGATATGCTGAGGCCCTAAACCCCAGTCCTCAGAATGTAACCTTATTTGGAAATAGGGTCGCTGCGGATATAATTAGTAGGGATGAAGTCATCGGGAGTAGGGTGGGCCCCTGATCCAATGTGACTGGTGTCCTTATAAGAAGACAAAGATGCGAAACCAGACACACGGGACAAACATGTGACCACAGAGGCAGAAACGGGAACAATGGGCCAGACGCCACCAGAAGCGAGGACAGGCAGGGTAGGGCTCTGCCGAGGTCGTGGAGGGAGCGTGGTCTTGCTGACAGGCTGACGTCACACTTCGGGCCCCTGGAAACAAGAGAGTAAATCCCTGTTGTTTTAAGCCCTACGGCCACCCCAGGAGACTAGTATAACCAGATACTGTCACCTCCCCACCCCAGCTCCCTTGTCCCCCCCGCTTGCCGGCACAGGTACCCCTGTCCCAAATTTAGAGTTTTTCAGGCAATCCTTTCTATAACTTTTAGCACATAAGCCTGTCTTCCCAAAAGAGTACCGTTTTGGTGGGGTTTGGTTTTCTCCTTCAGTTTGTAAAGGTTCTAAAGTGTACAATTCTGTGGTTTCTAGTATATTTACAGAGTTGTGCAACCATGAGCGCAATCTCATTCCAGAACATTTCCATCTCCCCAAAGAGCAGCCCTGGACCCCTTAGCAGTGACCAACCCTCCTACCTCCCTCAGCCCCGGGCAGAAACGAATCCACTTCCCATCCACGGAGGAGCCTGTTCCGGGCCTGTCACACACGTGGGCTCACACCCCGGGCGGCCTTCTGGGTTTGATTCCCTCCACGAGCATCGTGTGTTCAAGGTTCATCGATGTCATAACATCCGGACTTTTAAACTTGACATGATATTTTCTTACAGTGTCCAAAGCCTGCCACTTGGCCCTTTCCATTAGCGCTTGGTTTCTGAGATTCTCCCAAGGCGGGACACCCCTCCTTGCCACCACTATATGGCATTCCATTGCTCTTTATTATAGGAGCCAAGTTTTTTGTTGTTGTTGTTGTTTTTTAAGATTTATCTGAGAGAGAGAGAGAGAGAGTGAGAGAGAGAACACAACCAGGGGGAGCAGCAGGCAGAGGGACAAGCAGGCTCCCCACTGAGCAGGGAGCCCCACACCAAGCTCCATCCCAGGACCCAGGGATCATGACCTGAGCCAAAGGCAGACGTGGAACCCATGGAGCCACCCAGATGCCCCCCAGAGCCAAAATTCTTGTTGTTGGCTGCCTCCGTGCTGTGGTCCCAGGGAATCGTTACGGATGCTTCCGGGTGCTCACAGCCTCCTTCCCTCTTTCTTCATCTGTAACCTGGGGGTTCATTCATTTCCTCACCAAAGATCACCTGAGTGCCTGCTGTCTGCCAGGCATGGGCCCCGGGATACGCCAGGGGGGAAAAGAGACCAGAGCCCCCGCCCTCTTACAGCTGACATTCTAGTCCTGGGGACAGCCAGGATACAAGATGAACAGCTGATCTCTCCAGTAGTGCTCTATACCAGGGAGAAAAATCTGGGAAGAGATTGAGAGGTGGAAGGAGGAAGTAACATTTGAGCAAGTAGCAGAGGGAGGTGTGGGAGGGAACCGCATGGATGACTGGGAAATGACTTTCAGGCAGAAAGAACACATGTGCAAAGGTCCTGGGGCAGGACCCAGCCTGGCATTAGAAAAAAGGCAAAGGGGCCAGTATATATGGAGCAGGGGGAGTGATGGGGAGATGGGGAGGAAGGGAGGAGAGGGAGGGGATGGGGCAGGTTGTGCAGGGCCTGGTGGGCCTCAGGGAGGACTCCCCCAACACACACATGCCCCAGGAGGGAGCAGTGGAAGGATGTGGCTGAGGTTATCCCAGGGTACCTGTCCTGCCCCCTTGGAGGGTTGGTGCAAGGATTAAATAAGCACCGAGAGGACAGTGAGCACTAGGCACGCTCAGCTGTTTTCGTCCTCATCAGTGATCCCTGATTTTCCCGTCTGCAGCCCAGGGCTGGGAGGACTGCCTGGGGTCCCCCGGGAGCGCGCAGCTGGCGCTGGCAGGGCCCGGACACCTGGGGCCGGACCCCCCTCTGCAGCCCGCGGTGTCGCCTTCCCGGGCGGCTCGGGTTCCCGGATCCCCTTACCCCAGCAGCTCGACTGTCGCGCCCTGAACCGGGGGAGGGGAGGCTGCAGGAAGCGGCGGATCCGGCGGCGACGGCTGTGGCGGTGGCCGGGGTGGCCCAGCTCCTCCGGCCATGGAGAGCGCCGCGGCCCAGGAGACCCGGGGCGCAGAGGCCCCGCGCCCGGCCGAGCCCCCGCCCTCGCCCGCGGAGCCCCCAGCCGCGCCCCGAGCCCGTCCCCGCCTGGTCTTCCGCACGCAGCTGGCGCACGGCAGCCCCACGGGCAAGATCGAGGGCTTCACCAACGTCCGCGAGCTCTACGCCAAGATCGCCGAGGCCTTCGGGATCGCGCCCACAGAGGTGAGGACCCCCGAACCCCGCCACCCCACCCCCCGCCAGCGCGGGAGGCGCACCCGTCCGACAGGGGATAGGGGTGGAGCCTGGAGCCGGGGACCGGGGGCTCCGGATTTCCCCTCCTCGGATGGAGGGGATCCGATCACCAGATCTCGAAGACACACCCCTCAGGTCCTGGGGTGCCCATAACCTAGAGACCCTCTTGGCGCACCCTGCGCAAAAGAGGAGCCCGGTTTGGGGTTAGTGGGTCCCCAGGCCATCCAGGAGCCCACTGCGCTGAACCAGCTGGGAGTGGATCCCAGCCCTCGGGGAAGGGGAAGCGCGTCCAAGGCTCCTGGGCGCCGCTGGGGCAAGGGTTCCAGGCAGCCGCCTTCCAGGTGCGAAGTCGGAGGCCCCAGGGGTCAGGGGCTGGGCGGCAGAGCTGTATGACTCGCAGCCCCCAGGGGGCGCCAGTAGATTCAGAATCGACTGAAAAAGTTGGGCTGGAGTGTCAGGACACCAACTGGTTAAAACTGAAAGACTGGGGATGGAGGAGGGGTCTCTTCCTGCCCACATCCCCCTTATCACCTTGCTCCTGGTTAGGAGGGTCTCAGACTCTCTCTTGCGCGCCGCCCCCGCCGACCCATTCTGCGGGTCTAACGTCCAGCCTTTTCCCCGAGGACTGGGATCCTGGTGGGTGGGTGACCAGACACGTTTCATGCCTCTTTGTGCCTCAGTTTCCCTCTCGGGCTCCCGAACCCATCACCCTGGTTGTCTGCACAGAGGGCAATGAACGTTGTCATTAATTCTGGACTCACCTCCCCTTGGGACAGATCTTATTCTGTACCCTAAACAGCCACAAAGTGGACATGCAGAAACTCCTGGGCGGCCAGATAGGACTGGAGGACTTTATCTTTGCCCATGTGCGCGGCGAGACCAAGGAGGTAGAGGTCACTAAGACCGAAGACGCCCTAGGATTGACCATCACGGACAACGGGGCCGGCTACGCCTTCATTAAGGTGCTCAAGGGAGGGCAGGTGACTTCCTGGGTGCTTGGGGACCTGGAATGAGGCGCTGCCCCTCTCCGGTCTAACCTGGGCTCTGGGAAGCCGAGGGGAGGTGGCTGGGCTGGCCCTGTGAGTGACTCTAGGTCCCCGCAGAGGATCAAGGAGGGTAGCATCATCAACCGGGTCCAGGCTGTGTGCGTGGGCGACAGCATTGAGGCCATCAACGACCACTCCATCGTCGGCTGCCGCCACTACGAGGTAGCCAAGATGCTCCGGGAGCTGCCCAAGTCCCAGCCTTTCACCCTGCGCCTGGTGCAGCCCAAGAGAGCCTTCGGTGAGGGCTACCTGGGGTCCAGGGGGCAGGTGGGGTGGTGGTGAGGAGCTCTTCCAGAAGCGGGTTCTCCGGACGCCAGTACAGTGGAGCATGGGTGTATGTGGGGGGGAATGGGAAGGATGGAAGGTTCTAGATGCCTCTGGCGCCATGACAGGGGGCTTCTGGCACTGTGTCAGGAATAGGTAGGTAGTTTCTAGATTGTCAGAGTCTGTCCGAGGGTGGGGGCAGGCGGGTTTGGAAAGATCAGGATCGGAGAAGGAGGTGTCTGGACCTATTTTGGCTGTGGTTCTAGAGAAGGTTTTTCCAGGTGTGTTCTAGAACCGTATTTTTAAAAATTTATTTATTTATTTATTTGAGAGAGATTCAGCATGAGCAGGGGGAGGGGCAAAGGGAGAAGCAGACTCCCCACTGATCAGGGAGCCTGATGCGGGGCTCGATCCCAGGACCCCGCTGCGGGGCTCGATCCCAGGACCCCGGGATCACAACCTGAGCAGAAGGCAGATGCTTAACGGACGGAGCCACCTAGTTGCCCGCAGAACAGTGCTTTCCAAAGAGAGGTCTGCGAGCTGTCCGTGCATGGGATAAGGGACTCGCTCTCCGAGAGGGTTTCCCCAGTTCAGCAGTGGGACATCTGGCCCAGCTCATTTCCTGAAGTGGGGGCCACCCTGGGCACAGTAAGATGTCGGGCATCGCCCCTGGCTTTGACCCAGTAGATGCCAATGGCAACGCTTGTGTTGTAACAACCAAAATGCCTGCAGATATGGTCAAGGTCACCTGGGGGTGAAATCACCCGCCCCTGCCCTGGGGTCGAGAACCCCTGCGTTAGAATGCAGGCTGCGTGTTTAGCGGCAGGTGTGTTTTTTTAATAGCCAAGACTTTCTCAAGGAAGAAATCAACGCGCTGCTTTCCATTCCATTCCATTCCATTCCATTCCATTCCATTCCATTCCAAGGCACCACCTTCCTATTTCATTATGGACTGGCCCTTTGAGCTGCATTGTTCTCCGGCGAGAGGTTCTAGAAGCACCCAGGCACATCTGGAGGGAGGTCCCAGGGAGAAGGGGACAGGGTGGGGTTCCAGATCTGCCCTTTAGCACAGCAGTGGACGCTGAGAGCCATACCCAAACGTTAGAAGGATGAGTTCTAGACAGTCTTTTCCAGACGGATCCTCTGGCTACAGGAGGGTCTCAAGCAGTCCCTTCTAGAAAGTCATTTTAAAAAGAGGAGGGGGGCGCCTGGGTGGCCCAGTGGGTTAAAGCCTCTGCCTTTGGCTCGGGTCATGCTCTCAGGGTCCTGGGATCGAGCCCCTCATCGGGCTCTCTGCTCGGCGGGGAGCCTGCTTCCCCCTCTCTCTCTGCCTGCCTCTCTGCCTACTTGTGATCTCTCTCTCTCTCTATGAAATAAATATAGAAATAATCTTAAAAAAATAAAAATAAATAAAAAGAGGAGGGACAGGGGGCGCTTAGGGGGCTCAGTCAGGGGAGCCCATGACTCTTGATCTCAGGGTTGTGAATTCGAGCGGCATGCTGGGCGTAGAGATTATTTTAAAACGTTAAAAAATAAAAAGAGGAGCGCCTGGGGGGTTTGGTCGTTAACCATCTGCCTTGGGCTCAGGTCGTGATCCCGGGGTCCTGGGATCGAGCCCCACATCGGGTTCCCTGCTTGGTGGGAAGCCTGCTTCTCCCTCTCCCACTCCCCCTGCTTCTGCTCCCTTTCTCGCTGTGTCTCTCTCTGTCAAATGAATAAAAAAAGAAAAAATCTAAAATAAATAAATAAAATTTTAAAAAAGGAGGGAGATTTGGAGGAAGCAAGAATTCTCAAGCAGGGTCTCTGAGGATTCACCCCTCGATGTAAGGAGGGCTTTGAAGGACAAGAAGGTTCTAGAAAGGCTCCGCTGGCAGCTTCTGAGCGCTTACACAGATGCGGACCCGCCCAGAACACATGTCCCTCCCCCGGCTCTGTCCCTTCCAGATATGATTGGCCAGAGGAGCCGCGGCAGCAAATGTCCCACGGAAGCAAAAATGGCCAGTGGGAGGGAGACCCTGCGTCTTCGTTCTGGGGGGGCTGCCACAGTGGAGGAAATGGTGAGTGAGGGGGAAGGGAGCCTTCGGGGGCTCTGCACGAGCACTCGGCTGACTCAGTGGGACCGCGGGTAAGAACCTCTCCTTCGTCAAGCCGCTCCCCTCTCTGCGAGATGGGGCCTCGTGGGGAGGCAGGACAGGAGCGGTGGCACAGGGGCGGGGCCTGCGGAGGGGCTGGGCTGGAGGGATCCCAGGCTTTGACCTTCTCTGCCGGGCCCTGCCCCCATCCCCCAGCCCAGCGAGTTCGAGGAGGAGGCGTCGCGGAGAGTGGACGACCTGCTGGAGAGCTACATGGGCATTCGGGACCCAGAGCTGGGTAAGGGGCCAGGGTAAGCCGGGTGGACCCTGGGGGGGAGGGTAGACACCGGGAGGAGTCAGAGGCCCGAGGAGCCCCCTCACCCGCCTTCCCTCCTGCTCGGCCGCAGCAGCCACCATGGTGGACACGTCCAAGAAGACGCGGAGCGTCCAGGAGTTCGCGCACCGTTTAGATTCCGTCTTGGGCGAGTTCGCCTTCCCGGACGAGTTTGTGGTGGAGGTGTGGGCCGCCATCGGCGAGGCCAGGGAGGCCTGTGGCTAGTCTGCCCCCGGGCGGAGCGCAGCCCCAGCCCAGAACCCAGCCCCCCGCCCGAGCCCACCGGGCTGGTTCCTGAAGCCCACCTCGGCCCCAGGGCCCAGCCGGGATTTGAGACCCAGCCCCACTCTAGAGCCCAGGCAGGCTCTGGGACTGAGCTTCCCGCTAGAACCCCTACCAGTTCTGAGAGGTCAAGTCTCAGCTCTGAGGTCAAGTCTTGCTCTGAGACCAAGCCCTGTTCTAGACCTCAGGCCAATCCTGAGACAAAGTTCATCGCTAGAAGGCAATTCAGTTCTGAGACCCATCGCAGCCCCAAAACCCAGCCCTTCCCTAGAACCCAAGATAGCTCTGAAGCTAGACCAAGCTCAGAAACCAAGTTAAGGTCTGGGTTCCAGATAAGTTTTAAGACACAGCCCAGTTCGGAGATCAATCCCAGTTCCGGAAGCCAGCCCAGATCTGTGTCCAAGCCCTGCCATAAAACTCAACCTGATGGGGGAACTCAAGACAGCCGCATGACGCAGCCGTACCTAGATGCCCCGGCTAGCTCAGGAACTCCTGTTAGTTCTGGAGCCCAGATCAGATTCAAGAAACAATCCAGCAACAGTAGCCACCCAGACTCAGGACTGGAAGACGGCTCCCAAACCCAACCCTGCTCACGAGCCCAGACGCTCGCGGCAGTTCAGTCCAGACCCAGATCCCAGCCCTGCTCTGCAACCCAACTGCCCTCAGGTACTCACCCACATCCTGGGGCCTGGTCCGGTTCCAGCGATGAGTCCAGCTCAGAGACCGAGCCCAGTTCCAGACCCCAGCCTCGGGCTACTACCAGGCCCATCTCCCGAATTCAGACAAGCTCTGATACCCCTTCCACTTCTGAGGCAAGGCGCGCCTCCGGAGCTCGGCTGGATGTCAAGCCCCGCTCTCCCTGCAGAGTGCAGACCAGCTCTAGAATACCATCTAACTCTGGGGCCCAGACCGGCTTCAAGACATGGGCCATTTCCAGAGCTCAGTCCAGCTCAGGCAGTCCACCCAGCTCCAGAACTCCACTCCATTCTGAGGCGCAGACTGGGTCTGAAACCCCATCCAGCCGCCAACCACAGTCGGTTGCTGAGAGCCCACTGAGTTCCAGAATCCAGCTAAACTCTGGAATCCGGCCTAGCCTCAGGACCCAGACAGAGACAGCAACAGACTTAAGCCCCACAATTCTGTCTAGCTCTGAAAGCGGACCCAGCTCCAGGACCCAGGCTTGTCTGGGAGCTCAGTCAACCTCTGGGACTCAGCGTACCTCGGAAACGCTATCAAGCTCTAGACGCCAGCTGCAGGCCACAGCCCAAGGCAGCTCTGGCATTGAGCTGGACTTTGGGAAGCAGACCAGCTCTGGAACTCAGCCAAGCTCCAGGATTCACTCCAGCCCAGAAACCCAGCCCAACTTGGAAAACCAGAGTGATTCCAGAACACAGCCTGTTTCTGAAACCCAACCCAGCTCTAGAACCCTGATCAGTTCTGGAACCCAGCTCAGGCCTGAGATCCAGCCCACTTCAGAGACCCAGCCCAGTACAGGATTTCAGCCCAGCTCCAGGATTCAACTCAGCCCTGAGACCCAGCCCCACTCTGGAACCCAGAGCAGTTCCAGAACTCAGCTCAGCTCTGGAATTTACTTTAATTCCAGAACCCAGCCTGTTTCTGGAACCCAGTCCAGCTCCAGAACCCAGACCAGTTTTGGAAGCCAGCTAAGCTCCAAGATGCAGCCCAGCTCTGGGACTCAGAGCAGCTCAAGAATTCAACCCAGCTCTGGAGCCCAGCTCAGCTCCAGAACTCTGTCCAGCCCTGAGACCCTGCTCAAATCTGAGACCCAGCTCGGTCGCGGGATTGAGTTCAGCTCAGAGACACATCCCATCTCTGGAAGCCAGCCCAGGTCAAGAATGTTGCCCAGGTCTGGAATTCACCTCAGTTCTAGAATTCAGCCTCTTTCTGGAACTTAACCCAGCTCCAGAACCCAGAGTAGTTCTGGAACCCAGGCCAGCTCTGGGACCCAGAGCAGCATAAGAAATCAACCCAGCTGTGGAGCCCAGCTCGAGAACGCAGTTTTCCTCTGAGACTTGGCTCAGCTCTAAGATTCAGCTCAACTCTGAAACCCAACCCAGCTCCAGAACCCTGATCAGTTCTAGAACCCAGTTCAGTCCTGAGACCTCAGTCCTGAGACCTCAGAGACCCAGCCTAGGGCAAGAATTCAGCTTGGCCCTGAGACCCAGCCCCACTCTGGAACCCAGAGCAGTACAGCTTACCTTAAGGTAAGTAAGTACTTACCTTAGTTCCAGAACGCAGCCTGTTTCTGGAGCCCAGTCCAGCTCCAGAACCCAGACCAGCTCAAAGATCCAGCTCAGCTCTAGAAATAGACTCCACCTACAGACCTCTAGCCTTGATCCTAGAGCCCAGGCTGATCTCACTCCCCCAGCCCAATATCAGCCCCCAGGCCCACCGCCCAGAGTCCTGACTCTGGCCCCTAGCATAGTTGCTCAGCCCCAGCCCCAGCCCCATGATCTGGTACATGGAACGCAGGCCAACAGCGGCCTGGGCCGAAGCCTACCAACTTTCCACCTGACCCCACAGCCACAGATCCCCTCAGCCCCCCAGAAACCAGCCCTCTTCCCCAAGCCCCAGCTAGGACCCCAGAAGTCCACCCCACCCACCATATCTATCGTCTCTAGTTTGGCTCCCCGGGCGGCCCTTCTGCACTCCCAGCCCCCTGAGTCCCTAGCCCAGAAGCCTGTCCCCTCCCCCACACTCAAGGAGTCAAGGCCTGCTCCTTGGGGGTCAGAGCCCCTCCCCCACCATGGGGAGCTGTAGCTTGAGGGCAACACAGTTTTGGCTCCCATAATCCCCCCACAATCCTGTCTCCTGTCCCTCCCAGCTGGGTCCCCTGGAGGCAGCAGGTGACCTCATTCCCCCAGCATGTAGGTGTTGGGGGAGGAGGGAGAGTGGAAATGGGGACTTTAGTTTCACTTGGGCCTGGCTCTGGGCGGTGAAGCAGATCCCAGGTCTGTGGAGTGGAAAGCTGGGTGTGAGTGCGTGTGTGTGGCGGGGGGCATGTGGGCAGGAGGCAGAGAAATGGGGAGCAGGGGGCAATTTTGTCCTCATGTACCTTGAGGGCTCATGGGGAATAAAGGCACCTCTCCCACCCCTGCAGCTGGGTGTGTCATTTTTGGGGGAGTTCACAAGGAGGACAGACGAAGGGGCAGGCATAAGGGTTTGGGGGGGCGCACCTGACCTCACCGGATGTTTTCTAAGCCGCTGCTCTGTGCCAAGCCCTTTACTAAGTGCGAAGCCGGCCTGCACGGACCCTGCGCTCTGCAAAACCTCAATCATCTGTCCCTGCAACCGATGTTTATTGAGCACCTACTATGGACCAGGTGCGTTTGCTCGAGGCCCTGGGCACCTTCAGTGTTGAGCGAACAAAACAGGCACCCCCTCCGCCCCCCGCCCCCAGCTCTGCTCCAGCTGCCGTGAGCACATGGTCCAATGCGATCCAATGCACAAACTTTAAAGACTGATGACTTCAGACCCGAGGGAAAGTACGGCCGGGGGGGCCGTGATATATTTTGGCAAGGGAGGGGTCTCGCCCGTGCACACTCAGTATTTCCTAAGCAGAGCCTTCGTGGGTTGGGGTGTCCAAGGGGATCAACCGTACCCCAGAAAGCAGGTCATAGGTAGGGGTCGGAGTCCCCCATTCCCAGAGGATTTCTGGAAGGGGAGGCTTGTAAGTCTCCTTTCCTCAGACACCCCCTGTCAAGCCTGCTCACCCTTCCTGGGGCCGGGAGGGGGACGGGAAAGGGGGATCCGGGGAGCGTTAGGGGGTCCCCAAGGCTGCTAGAGAGCAGCCCACAATCCTGCCACTCCAAGGCTTGGTCCTTCTGAGACTCTGGGCTGCCGGAACCCCAGAACAGGCAGCTGTGTCCTCGGGAGGGACGCGCCAGCCGGGGGGAGCCCCCTGCAGCCGTCGGGCTCTAAGGCACGGGGCGTCTCTGGGTGAGCTGCGGCTGCAGGGACAGCGACCTGGGCCGGGCGCTGAGGCGAGGGTGGAGGCGGCGGATCACGGCCCGGCGGAAGAGGATGTACACCCAGGGGTCCAGGATCTGGTTCCAGGTGGCCACGCGCAGGTAAATGAGCAGCTGCTGCTCAGTGGCTCGCGACAGCTGCCCGCTGGGGCTCATGGCGGGTGGGCTGCGCAGCACCGTCTGGGCGATGAAGACCTGCCGGGGGTCAGAGCAGTTAGCCGGGTCCGCCCGCCGCCAGCCCCTGCCCCGCGGCCACGCCCACCCCCGAGACCCTCGACCGTTCCTGTCCCTGCCTTGCTGTGTGACCTGGGGAGGGCTGCCCGGCCTCTCTGAGCTTCAGCTGACGCAGTTGGGAAATCGCGTGCTTTTCCTGCGGTCTCGGGGCGCGGGGTGGGGGGGGGACTGGCAGGTGCGAGCGGGAGTCCCGGAGCCGGCCCGCCTCGCTGGGCTCTGAAACCCCCTCCCATTCTAAACACATCAGGATGTGAAACTTTTCCACTGTACCCCAAATTCTCAGTTTTTATATTCTATGTTTTATTTAGCTTATTATTTTTTAAAGATTTTATTTATTTATTCACAAGAGAGAGAGAGAGAGAGAAAGAGGCAGGCTCCCTCGCGGAGCAGGAAGCCTGATGCGGGGCTCGATCCCAGGACCCCCCGGGCATGAGCTGAGCGGAAGGCAGAGGCTTCAGCCACTGAGCCACCCAGGCGCCCCTGTATGTTTTATTTTAAATAACTTTATTTTATATTAAAATTTATATAATTTATGACATGGTTTTACACTAAATGATTATTAAATTTGTATATTGAATTATTTAAATGTTTTATCACTATTGAAATTTATGTTTAGTATGATATATATGTAAGTTATTTACAAATATGGAAAAAGGAATTATTTAATAATTCACATTGTAAATTATCATTATAGTAATATACTAGAGGTATATATTATATAGTATTTAAAATTACAGAATATTACAATTATAATTATATAACTGTATAATTTATATAATTAAACATAAATATAATACAACAATGTGATAGTCACAATGTATATTTTATAACTATAATTAAAATTTATATTAAGCATAATTATAATTCATATTGTGTTATTACATTAAAGTAAGTTATTATGGTGAAATTATATTCATATTGGGGCACTTGGCTGGCTCAGTCTGTGGATCGTGTTATTCTTGATCTTGGGGTTGTGAGTTCAAACCCCACGCTGGACAGAGATGATTTAAGATCTTTTTGGGACACTCGGGTGCCTCAGTTGTTAATCGTCTGCTTTCGTCTGCCTTCGGCTCAGGTCATGATCCCTGGGTCCTGAGATCGAGCCCCGCATAGGGCTCCCTGTCCTACAGACCCAGCCACGCCCATTTGTTTCCGGAGGCTGCTTTCCCATCCGGTTGGGACGGCAGAGCTGAGTATCTGTGACAGAGGCCATGTTTATTTTTTTTATTTTTTTTTAAAGATTTTTTTATTTATTTATTTGACAGAGAGAAATCACAAGTAGGCAGAGAGGCAGGCAGAGAGAGAGGAGGAAGCAGGCTCCCTGTTGAGCAGAAAGCCCGATGTGGGGCTTGAACCCAGGACCTGGGATCATGACCTGAGCCGAAGGCAGCGGCTTAACCCACTGAGCCACCCAGGTGCCCCCAGAGGCCATGTTTAAATATTCACCATATGGCCCTTTATGGAAAAGTTTCCCCACAAAGGGGACTCAGGAGTTTTTTGTTTATTTATTTATTTATTTATTTATTTATTTTAGGAGTTGTTTAATGATTCAGTGATTCTACCTAAGGGAAGGGACGCCTTTCCCCTTGTGCCCAGTGACTGAACTCCTATTCATGCTTCAAAGCCCCAGCTCCAATGGTTCAAAGCGGGACAGAGCCCATTCTGGGCATCCCAAGAGACTGGAGGCTGGGTGGCAGGGAGGAGAGCAAGGCACAGCAGCATGGACAAGTCTGCTGGCGGTCAGGGTCCTTGGGAGGTGACATGTGTGTGCATCTCACCCAGGGGAGGGAAGCAGAGAGCCAGCAAGGAGCCAGTTCCTGGGGTGGGTCCCAGCTGCTGGCACCGATGGGTTCCCATGGGAGCAGCAGCCACAGAATGCTGCTTTTGGCTGGAAAATATGCTCTTGTCCTGCCCTGAGGTGCCCGTCCCAGGCCTGTTCTCATGGATATTACGCTTCGTATTTATCGGGCAGCACCTGAGTCATGTCCTCCTCTGTCCACAGCCCTCCAGGGCTCCCATCTCCCTGGGGGAGAAGCCCAAGTCCTCCCTGCAGTCCCCCCTAGTCCCCTCTCCACCCTCCCCTTCTCCGTTTCTCCCCTGCACCCACTCTGTTCCTCCTCACTGATCTTCTAACATGCCAGGCAGGGTCCTGCCCCAGGGCCTTTGCATGTGCTATGCCCTCTTCCTGGAATGCTTCCCCCCAGGCCAGATCTCCACATAGTTCACTTCTTCACCTCCACCATGTCTTTGCTCAAATGTCACCTTCACTGAGAGGTCCCTGACCACCATCAGGCCCAGTCTCTTGGGACATCCAGAATGGGCCCTGCTCTGCTCTGAACCATTCCAGCGGGGGCTCTGAAGCATGGGTAGGAGTTTCACTGTTAGATAAAACCCAGGAAGGCATTCTAGATAGACACTCCCTGAATGGTTAAATGACTCCTGGGGCCCCTTGGTGGCACACTTCTTCTTCAAGGGCCGTGTAATAACTTTTCTAAACACAGTGTTGGCCACACCTAGGCTCTGCAGCTTCCGAGCAACAAGGAAGCACGCGGGTGTGGCTATGTTCTAACAGGACTTCATTTCTGGATGCGGAATTTGAATTCCGTGTCGTTGTCACGTGTCACACAAAATGTCAAAATACGATGCTCCTTTCTTTGCGGTTTTCCTCCGACCACTTACATTTGTAAAAAATTCTCAGCAAAACAAAAAACACAAAGCAAAAGCAAAAAAACAAATTTGTGATCTTTCCATTTGCAGGGTTGTTTTTTTTCCCTAAGATTTTATTTTTAAGTCGTCTCTACACCCAACAGGGGGCTCGAACTCACAACCCTGAACTAAAGAGTCACACGCTCCAACAGTTGAGTCCACCAGGCACCCCTGCAGGTTTGGTTTTTGTTCTAGCTCTTTTCACTTCCTACTATCGACCCCTTCCTGCATCCATACACGAGGTTTATGGCCCGCCTTCCCCACTGGCAAGAGTTCCAAGGAGGATCTCTGTCACTTCTGTTCTCTGCTGTGTCTTCAGTGTCTGGACTAGAGCCTGGAACATAGGAGTCACTTATGAAATGTTTGCGGAAAGGGCAAATGATTAATGGGTTCATTTCCGTCTCACCGTAACTCGGAAGGTCAGACACTTTTTAATCCCCCTGATCACGAAGGCTGGAGGAGGGGAGCCCAGAACCAGAGTCACATAGCAAGTCCTTGCTGGGCGTGATTTGGACACCGAGTGTCTGACTTCAGACTCCAGACATGTCCTGATCAAACCAGAAATGGAAAAAAATACCACACCAAATGGAAAACCACACTGATCAGTGGAAGGACTTCAGCCAAGCTTTCCCCCGGGTCAGAAAATCTGGCCAGAGCCCAGTTTCAGAACTAGTAGGCTTGGGAAATGTTTGATGATTCAGTGATACTACCTAGAATGCCTTCCTTTTTCTTGTTTAGTAGGTAAACTCCTATGTATCCTTCAAAACCCTAGCTCCAATACCCCTTCTCTGGAAAACTTCCTCTGATACCCCAGATAGAACATGGGAGTCCCTCCCTGGGCAACCCAGTCCTGACCCCAGCTGGGGGTCATCTGTGTCTCGTTCGCGAGCTCCTCAAGCAAGGACGTTCGAACACTGGGGTCTGTGCCCACATTTTCTTGGGTGGATGAGAACCTGAGGATTTAAGTCCCCTGTGGAGGGGTGCCTGGGAGGCTCTGTCGGTGAAGCATCTGCCTTCGGCTCAGGTCGTGATCCCGGGGTCCTGGGATCGAGCCCTGCGTTGGGCTCCCTGCTCAGCAGGGAGTCTGCTTCCCCCCTGCCCTCTGGCCCTCCCCAGGATCTTGCTTGCGCTCTCTCCCTCCCAAATAAACACGATCTCTAAAGGTAAGTCAGCAAACCCACTGAGGGTGGCAGGAGCCCCCGGCAGGGCCCCCGGCCGCACTCACCAGCAGCGGCATCCAGCAGATACTGGCCACCACCATGATGCCCGTGAGCTGAGCCATCATCTCCACCTCGCAGTCCCGCGGGCGCTGCTGGGCGGCCTCCCGCCCGTGGTAGACGTGGCACAGGGTGGCCACACTGATCGTGTTGAGCAGGAAGGACAGCCCCACCGAGAAGCTGCCAAGGAGGGTGAAGAGCAGCCCGAAGGCCACGTCCCCAGGCTGGGCGCCGAGCGTGAGGAAGCACCAGGAGCCCGGGTACTGCACCGTGTAGCGGCCGACGCCCAGCAGGGGCAGCAGGCCCAGCGCCAGCGCCGACGCCCACACCAGCCCCACCGTGGCCCAGGCCCGGCGCTGCGAGGCCCCCGCGGGCCGCGAGAAGGGCCGGGTGATGCCCAGGTAGCGCTCCGAGGCCATGGCGGCCCCCAGCAGCAGTGGGCAGAGGCCAAAAAAGACCATGATGACGCCCATGAACTGGCAGAGGCGGCAGCCGGGGTCCGCGGCGCGCCAGTCGAACAGGATGGCGTGCTGGGACACCACGATCGCGCCGGTGACCAGCAGCCCCATGAAGTCGGTGAGCACCAGGCCGCAGAGGAAGGTGAGGAAGGAGGAGCGCGCCTGCGAGCTGGCCTGCCGCGCCCCTGCCAGCACGCTCAGGGCGAGCAGGTTGGACGCCAGGCCCACCACGCAGAAGGAGGCCGAGAACCAGGGAGAGGCGATCAGGCGCCGCTCCTCCAGGGTGATGTTGGTGGGCCGGAAACAGGGCCCCAGAGAGGTGCCATTGGGCCACATGGCGCTGGGGCGGGGAGCGGAGGGTCAACACCCCATCGGGCCGACGCTGCAGGTGGGGAGAGCTCGCGCTGGCTCAGGCATGCCTGGGGGAGCAGAGAGAAGATTTGCTGGTGAGTCATTGTGCATTTTCATTGGAGGGGGCCTGGTGAACTCCTACACCATCTTCAATACCCCAGGTCAAATATCCCCTCTACTTTCTTTCTTTTTTTTTTTTTTAAGATTTTATTTATTTATTTAACACACACAGACAGAGAGAGAGAGAGAGATCACAAGTAGGCAGAGAGGCAGACAGAGAGAGGGGGAAGCAGGCTCCCCACTGAGCAGAGAGCCTGATGTGGGACTCGATGCCAGGGCCCTGAGGTCATGACCTGAGCCGAAGGCAGAGGCTTAACCCACTGAGCCACCCAGGTGCCCTAAATATCCCCTCTTTCAAGAAGCCTGTCCTGGCTCCTCTCACTCCCCACGCAGTATTACTATTCTAATAGCGCTGTTATCATGGCTCCCACCGCTACTACCACCAGCTCTGGCCCTCCCCAGACTCAGTGACCCACCAGGGTGAGGACCCATGTGGTCTGCTCTGCGGCCCCTGGAGAACAACACCAGGAGTCTTTTCTGAGTCACAGAGAAGAACCAAGGAGCTGTGGGCGGGAACCACCATCCTGGTGGCCCCTGCGTGAGCCCCGGCAAATGGTCTCTTCTCCCTGGGCTCTGTGGCCCCGCTCGCTCGTCACCCCGCTGAGCCCTCAGCCGACTGCAGAACCTGGGGCAGATTTCAGCTGCTGGGAGACGGGATGTGTGCCAGGTGAGGAGGGCGGCAGGTGGGTGGCCTGAGGCCACCGGCTCTGAGGTCACCACTTCACCTGCACGTACGCGGGAGGCCTGACACCTTTGGCGTTTTTGGAAAACGCTGCCTTGCCCATGTTGGGATCGTGTGTGTTTTTTTCCCCCGTTTTCATGGCATTTAACAAAAAAGATTTTATTTATTTATTTGACAGAGAGAGACACAGTGAGAGAGGGAACACAAGCAGGGGGAATGGGAGAAGGAGAAGCAGGCTTCCCGCAGGACAGAGAACCTGATGCGGGGCTCCATCCCAGGACGCCGGGATCATGACCCGAATCAAAGTCAGAAGCTCAACAACTGAGCCCCCCAGGCGCCCTGTGGCATTGTTTTTATAATGAAGAAATAAACCCAGAAATCTAGTTCCATTCTGGGAACAAAAACAGAAAAACCCAGCTCATCTGGAGCGACAGACTCCCTGGGGATGAGCTAAAAATGGCAGTGAGAGGGACCTGTTACCCTCTGGGGCTGCGGAAGGACGCTGGAGACGCCGGGCCTAGCTGCCACGAGTGTGGACGGACAGACCACACGTGGGGATGTTGCGCAGAAGCAAAGCAAGAGACCATCCAGAGAACAGCTCCCAGTGTCAAAAAGGACGCACCAGAGAGGCCGCTGGGGGCGCTGGGGCCTAACTGGCGGGTCCCTGGGCTCCTGCCCTGGGTCTACACCGCAGGTCCCCCTATGTGGCCAGCGAGGCTGCCCCGGGGGTGGGGGGGGCAGAGGGGACGCAGGTGGGTGGGCATGGGCAGGACATAGGGCCGGCGGGCAGTTAGAACTCAGAAAGCTCCTTCCGTGACCCCCATTTTGCAGAAGGGGAAGACGGAGGCGCCAGAGAGGCCGAGTCTCTCGTCGGAGGCCCCACAGCCTGGCCTGAGTTGATCTGATGTAAATCCAGGCCTTGCTGTGGGCAAACCCGTGTAAATGATTCGCAGGCCTGCAGGCCAGAGGGAGCCCTGCTGTGGGGGTTCCCCATCACCACAATTTGCTCTAAGGGCTGGAATTTTCTAAAAAGCGGGTCTGGCCAGATTTGAATCCGGGTGTTGTCATGAACCCCGTCACAGACCCTCCTCTGGGAGCTCCCAGTTCCCTTCCTGTAGCATGGGTGGACAGGAATGAGCTAAGCTGGGTACAGGGCTTAGTGCCCTGTGGGCGCTCACTTCGCGCCAGCCCTGGCTCCCCGTCCTGCTAACCGGTGTGCTGGCCTGGCCCCTCTGCTCAGCAACTCCCTGTCGCTACTCATGAATTATCCAGCCCCTGGCAACCGCAGTGAGCTTTGCTCCCAGGCCGAGAGCCAAGGCCACGGCCACTTTGGTTGGTGGGGGGGGCTGCGGTGGGAAAACGGGGTCCAGAGAGAGGTGGGCGGCCGTGCAGGGGCTGTTCACAGTGATCGCACCCTTACCCTCTACTGCAGAGCAAGGGGCGTGCTCTCTGCCATCACAGACTTGGCCTACATTTGGATTCCTCTTAGGACAGGGCACTCGCTCCCTTGAGAGCTGCTACACATTGTTTCTGAACCTTTCTAGGGACTTGGGCTGTGCCTGCGGCCCCTAACCCGACCTCAGCCTGGAGGGACCACCGGCTCCTCCTGGGGTTTCATGGCCCCACCCTGTGTGGGAGCTCAGGCACTTCTCATTCGCCCTGGGGCACATACCCTGAGACTGCCTCACGTCTCCCCTATCTGGGAACAAACCTATGACCCAGAGCCCTTGGCCCTGGGGGAGGCTGGAAACTGGCATGACTCTCTCTGGGCACAGACCGTGGTTTCCACTCCACCCCTCCTCGCCATCAAGTTCAGGTGATAGCTGCCGTCTCAAGTTCCCTAGGCATGCGGGCCAGGCCCGTAGGGACCCCTGGTAAGGCCTCCTTTCCCCTCCTAAGTTGGCTAGGAGGGATGGCAGGCCCTCCCCTGCAGGAGACTGTCAACACAGTGCGAGGTCCAGAATCAGTCCTGTGTGGCCCTTGGGGGAATATGCCTCCCTCTCTGTGCCTTGTGGGAGGCACGGACCCCCAGATTTGCTGCACAAACCCAGGCTTCCATGGCCCAAGAGCAGGGAGCTTTGGGCTTAGAAGGACCAGGGCTCTGGAATTCTAACAAGTTCTTGGTTCTGGAACCCAGGAGGCCTCAAGTCCAGAATTCCAAGGGGCCGAGGTTCTAGAACCTTGACGGGAACGTGGCTGGGTCCTGGGATCCAGAACTTCCATCTCAGCTCCTGGAACCTTCTTGGAGGACATCAGTCTACCTGGGTAAGGCTGGGCCACGGCCGGGTGGGGGTGGACGGCTCCAGTCTGCCCCAGAGGCACAGACACCAGGCTGGGCCCTCCCAAGCCCAGCCGCCAGTGGAATGTGATCCCTGGTTCCCAAGTCCCAGGCCCCTCCCCTGCCTGCTGGCGGCTGCCGGCCCTGCTCTCCTCCGGCTCCGGAGCTAGCCGTCTCTCAACACGTCCGTCTCACGCTCAACACTTCATCCCCCGGCTTGCCAGGCCGCCTGTCTCCAGGCCCACCCAGACACCCCCCAGGGACGAAGATGACCTCCCACCAGCTCGGACTGGAGTCCCCGATCTGCCATTGCCAAGCTACAGGCCAACACCGCCAAGCCTGTGTCCCCTTCTCTGCGAAATGCAGAAAGCGGGGACACAAAGTCGCCTGCTGGTATTCTGGCCGATCTACCCAGGCCTGACCTGTCCCCATGGGCCCTCCGCACCCCCCACCCCATGCCTGGAGAGCCTTGCCGGCTCCTGGGGTGCTCCGGGCTGGCTGTGTGCGCAGGAGACAGCCCCGAGGTGGCCCCCTTCATGTCTGCTGAGTCCTCCAAGCTCTGGCCAAGTGAACGCCGCCGCCCTTTGGCGTAAAGCTGCGGGGGCCAGGCCAGCCCATGCCTGGGCGGCCTCGCAGACCCATGGGCCAGGACCCCTCCACAGACACCCTGGGAGATGCACCCTTACGGGTAGGGCCCCTGTCAGTCCCCAGGCCTGCCCTTGTCTCCCCTCCCCACACTACAAGGCTTAATTTCCGGGAACTTTTCCTGTTTGTGACACGGACCGGCTCCCACCTCAGAGGGTGTGGGGTTGGGGGGGGCCTCCACAGTCATTCCAGCTCGGCCCTGGGAGCCTCATTCCCTCATTTGTACAATGGGTGCCCTCGAGGGCTCACCACTCAGCAGCCAGTGTGGGGGCCGCACAGGAGGGCAGGTGTGGTTTGGGGTAAGGGGACCAGCCCCCGGGGCCTTTGGCCGTGGGGAAGGATGGACACCGAGGGATGGACACCAAGTTAGAGAGATGCTGCAGACCTGCGCGGAGACCCTCCTCTGTGGCCTGCCCAGACACACGGACGCTGGGCCACACTTGCTCACGGCCGCACCCAGCCCTCGCACCCTTCCTGCCACATCGGAGGACCCTGAGCAGCTCAGCGCCCACCCAGGGAAACGCACCCACAGAACACCCTCAGCCACGCTGGGACGGGCCCAGGGCGGACAGTGGGGACGCGACCGCCCCCTCGGGGCACAGACCGGGTCTCAACAACGCCGCCGCCCCGACACCCTGCACCTGGCTGCCCCGCAGGCACGGGGACACACCCACAGTGGGGCGGGCCTCCGCGGGACACACCCGCCCGCTCTCACGCCCCGCCCCTAACCTGGCGGCCCGGCCTCACCTGGAGACGGTGACCGGTGGGACGCACGGGGGTCGCGCCTGTCGCGGAGCCCCGCGGGCAGGCCAGCGCCGGGCCCAGGCCGGGGAGGGCGGAGCGGGGAGCGGGCGGTCCGGCCTCCCGGAGCCCCCGGGGAAACCGAGGCACGGCCAGGGGCGGGCCGCCCAGAGGACCCCCGGCCTTTCACGTCCCCGCAGGGCACAGATGGAGGGCGCGGCAGCTCTGGACGCCGGGATGCGCGAGGTCCTCCGGGGCTGGAGGAGGGGCGATGAGCCCTCGGGGCCCGAAACGGGGGTCCGCGGGGGCTAAAAATAGCCCCGGCGCGGGGCTCCGATCCGCAGCCGGCGCCCTGTCTGTCCTTGTCTCTCTGTCTCTCCCTCCGTCTCTACGGGCCCCTCCCCCTGCACTGGCCACGCCCCCGTGGCCCGGCCTGGCTGATGGGGGTCAGTGGGCAACCCCCAGCCCGCCCGGAAACCCGCGCAGCCGTCTGAGGGAGTGGGCGCGTCCCCCTGGGCTCAGGGACAGGGATGCGGGTGGCGGGGGTGGTCGGCGCCCACACGGGAGCCTTTGGCCCGGGGCCGCCAGAGCCGGCCCCGTCTTTGCGCTCCCGCCGCCAGGCCCCGCATTATTCACCATCTGGGCAGCACCCAAGGGCAGCCGGGGAGGGGCGGGGCCGCGGGCGGAACCCGCCCGGGAGGCTCCCAGACCCCCCCCACCCCAGGGGCCCAGGGCTCCAAGCTGGGGAACTGGTGGGCTGGGGCCTGGCACACAGTAGGTACCTAATAGATGCAGGGTGTGCTTAGAGGGGAGGGGCGCCAACACTCAGGGAGCAGCTCTGTGGGCGCCCTGCGGAGACAGACTTCCCCCCCCCCCCCCCCCCCCCCCCCCCCCCCCCCCC